ATACAAAGTGGCCTCTTTGATCAAGTATAAAGTGATTTGGTTAGTGCAGCGTGTAAACTCGATACGTTTTCTTGACTCGTTAGCTGGAATTTTGTTGTGACAATGATATCTTCCTCTGATGATGTTCGTCATATGACGGACGAAAGCCTATCACTTTACCGGAATCGAAGAAGATTATCTCAGAAACAGCGTCAGCATGAATCTTCCAGTAAAGCGAATCGACAGCTGGTCAAGAGGAATCCGCCGTCGTCTTCTGGTGGAACCGACCTTCCAATTTCTTCACCCAACACTTTCACTCGAAATGTAAGTAATGTAGCCGATTGTAATAGCAAATACAACCACCATAGAAATGTGATGAGAAAGGCCTAGCCCTCTGAGTCTCAGTTCTGTCATGTAGCCTTGGGCATCCGTGGCAGTGTGGCGTAGGGATTGACGTGTCAAGACTATGCTGCATGAGGTGAGGTGGAAACTGGATGGTAATACCTTTTGGGAAGCAAGGATATGCGAAATTCAATTGAAACGTGAGGCATACTTAGGTCATTGTGGGAGAATTCAGCTACCAGTCTTTAATCAGCATAGACGAAATAAGGTGAATACATCATGCCTTGGTTTAACCCATTGTGAATATTTCTGGTTATTACGGATGACATGACGGCAGACGCGAATGATGCTGAAGAACGAAAAAATAATTATAAAATCGGGGCTTTTTATCAACCTTAGTGAGAAAAAGGTGCACACCTTTACTTTGTTACAAAATGAATGTGTACCGAGGCTTCAAAACTATAAAGACCTTGAATTGGAACCCATTTATTCTATTCATACTTCCATATTAATACTCAAGATGCAATAATAGTTTTGAAACCTCTGTATGTAACGTTTGTAATGTCAAATACGAGTTTGCCTTGAATACCTTTTAAGTAATGCTTAGTGAAATTAAATAGCACCACGAGGCCCACATGTGGAAGCTCACTCCATTATATGCGACCTAGGGTGAGTGAAAATTTTATTTAAGATTTGCTGATAGTTTTGAAACCTACTTTCTCTTGTCTTGTTGAATCAAAATGCGGCTCATGTACCTCGTGGTTGTGTCGGAGTATCATAGCTGCCGCCTGTCGCGCACATTCCTTCTCCGAATCACATCGTAGGTGTTGATAAGACCTAGGAATTGTCGAAATAGTTGTTTCTCTCTGGGTAGAGGCGTTGGAGGTTAAGCAAAACGAGATTTGATGGCGTAGTTTGGCCTTCTACTCATTTCGTTATAGAGAACTCAGCTATCAGTCCTACACAACCTTAGGTGGCTTTATTCAAAACCGAATCATAACGTCGAAAAGCGGTCACTATATGAGGTTGATTCTTACCTGGAGTCCAGCTTGCCTTCTTAAAGACAGCTTCCGGCTTATGGGCCAATGTGAATCTAAGTTAATGCTTGCATTCTACAGATACTATTGCTAAGTGTGTCGGCTCCTGACGTTTATGAAGTTAGAACTGAAAGCTACCTTTGAACCTTATCAGGGGGTAGGCCAGGCTCAACGCGGAGAATCTTTTGGACGGCAGGCTACTGATTCTCACTGATGAAGTAGATGCTCCTATGGTAACAATATCCCGTTTGCCAGTTTAGCCATCGTTCCCTACAAATACCAATCAGGCATGCTCTGTCCATTGTATGCCAGCAATTATAAAATTGGAAGCACACTTGGGGGTTGTTCAGCTGGTTAGAGTACAGGTTCATTTATCTTAGCACCCCATTAAAAGATCCGAGATCGGGCGCAGTGCAGTGCGTAATGGTCCTTTAGGTATAGAAACTGACTTTATCACCTAACTCCCCGTGCTAATAGGCAAAATACGTTGTATACATAAAACTTTTCTTAGAGCGCCGGGAAAACTGGTGGATTAAGAGACTTGCTTTTAACCACAGATTGAAATGTTAAAGTGCCCTCCATACAGGGTCCCAGAGCGGCAATGAGGTGTTGAAGTCAAGTAGTGTGCCACAGCAGTAGGTGTGACGATGGTGGAGGCTGAAGTACCATCATTTACAAAGTAGACCAAGACAAGTGAATGCGCCCTGATGAGGTTTTTAAACCAGCAGCCTGACAAGATGAAGCAACCAGAGAGACTGATTCGAAAGGAGAGCGTTGCAAAATCATATCACGAAGAAGAAACATGAAAAAGCAGAGGGCCCGGTAGACATATTCATTTTCATCATAAAAGAAGTTTTAGCGCAGAGGAGTAAAATAGTGCAAACAAATCGTTGGCTGTGGAGCCATGTCTTATGCTGGTAAATTTAGGACAATAAAAGTAAATAAGATGAAAAGAAACAAAGGTGAGTGCTTAGGGCTAGTTGAACTAATTCGAAGTACATATTGCACATTGATGGGCATGGGCATGCCTACATTGGTTTCCGTCTACTTTAGTGAATTTATAAGCTGACAAAAGTATAGATAAACAGATAAAGTGCAGAGAGGAGATAGTGAGATGGGAGGAGGACGAAAAAGCCTCGAAATGAGAGCCACGGCTTCATATGCTCCTCGTACCGAGAGTTGGGGAGAGTGGGAAGCCTGATCACAGGTGAATGTGGCAAAGAACGTAAAGCAAGACGTAAACAACTTTGCAGCACGCATAAATGTGGTCATAAGTACCACGAAGGTCCCATAGACCGGCTTCTGATAGGGCAAAGTCTCAAAAGAGTTCGAAAGGAAGGCGGCAGGGAAAGGAGCGAGGAGATAGGGTGTATCATCAACGCCGATATGCTAAATAGGTCACGGAAAAATTGCTCGGCGCTTTTACGGCTCCCGAGGAGCTAGATCACAACACAACCTCCTTTCTCCTGGAAGGGGTTGTCTTTTTTGCTTGCGAAGCCACTGACTAGACAGTCTTTCTCACGGTTATGTTCCATGTAGGTGATCATCTCTCGAACACACTCAGATACCGGGCGCCGGTTAATGTTGGCCTCTTGACGCAGTTGCTCCACAAGCTTTCGTTGTTGACCAATGCTCGACATTGCTCTGACAATATTAGAAGAACCTGAAAAAAGGTAGACAAAATAGCAAAGTGTCAAGAAGGCAATCCCTGTGACCAATTTTCTGTTCAACCGTTGTTGCATCACTCGTCCCTACTTTTTGTCCTAGCCTCAAACGCTGTATATCTTTCTCTCAATCACACTTCATATGACTCATTTACATATTCACACTGTTTTCTCCTCTCGTTTCCCTAATGTCGCCTAGGGGTGTCGCTTCCAGTAGATATAATGAAGCGTGACCGTCTTTACCAATTCTGGGTGCCGTTGAGCATAACTTAACCTTTATTTAACCCCCACTTTCTACCTAGTTTGTCAATTGGTCTCGGTTACACATAAAAACACTGTTTGGCTGTCATGGGCTTTAAATTCCTATCTCCTTTTACGTAATATTTGAGGATTTAGAGTAGATAATGGCCATATCTGGGCATCGTCCTCTCCCTATGCTTCAGACTCATGATCCAGTTTTTAGCTTTCTCATCCCCATTCCCATTATATCTCATTCTTTGGGGCCTTGAGTCCGGATTAATTCTGAACCGCTGGTGTCAAAATGTATCACTTCCATTTTTCCACTCTTGAATCCCATAAAGCATACTCCTCTTGTCACTCAAGTTGACAGTCTCATCTAAGCCTATGACACTAGTCCGTTGTTCATGTGTACGTTGGTTAGTACCCCCCCTTTTGGTCAGGCATATCATCAGTAATTCTCATTAAAGCATATACTTAAGCACACTAGATATCTATGTCTGGCGCACCTGTATCTTTAGCTTAGAACCTCTTATGGAGCATAATCTTCCTGTTTCTGGACCTTAATTTTCTATCCCAAATCCCTCAGGTGACCCCCACAGGTGACTTTTTAAGCTGATTCCAGATTTGACTCCTCTCATTGCAATCGCCATTTCTTCCTGTTGTTGAATAGTTATCCTTGGTCCAAGCCTCTTCTTTTTACTGTCCTCGCTGAATCCCCAACCCTGTCCAGGCAGTACGCGAAATTCTCGCAGAAAATTTTCTCTTCCAACCTGTTAATCAGGTTTAGTTGAGAGAGGATGTCCATGGACTCCCTTGATTTAATTCCGTTTTCTGGTGTCCTCTCCATATGAGTCTAGTCTTTCCGTTGCACTCCAGTCAATTTCGTGGCCGATGAAGGCAATGTGTCGATCATTCCGTATCCATTTTTCCGCATAGCCGCTAGTTTCCTTTGACCCTTATGCTGATTGTTCTTCTAGTCTCTCCTATGTAGTTTGGCTTACAGTATTTTCAGTATTTTTCTTGTCCCCATCTTATACAAAGCCAATGTAAAGCGTCTAGTTGCCTGCAATATAGCCTTTATTTAAACGTACTCTCCGGAAGTTAGGTGTTAAAAGTTGAAGACGAACATGGGCGGAATTGAAAGTTTGAGTTTCCACATTCAGTGGTTCAGTTGTGTCAATAAACTTGGCTTAGCATGGTGTCCGCGACAGACTAAAATCACATTCACAAAGTGCTTGTCTCCGTATTGAGTGCTAGTTAAGTCGAGAATGTGCATTTCCATCAACAAATAAACGACCCACACGAATGCGGACCTGTTTTCATTGGGGCAAACAGCAGGTATTAATGTGGTAGCAAAGCAGATCTGAAGTATCTGTGATGTAGAAATGTAAATGATACAAGCCCGTATTTGCCTGTTCGTCTGGTAGCAAGTTTGTAGTGAAGGTTATTGGCTGGAACCATGCTTCCGATGTAGTAAGTAGCGTAACTATCAGTCACTGAAACACTAGGCTACCAACAAAATAAGATAGATAAAAAGGCGTCAGTAGCCAGCCACTGTCAGTTTAATGATCATACTGTGGGAGGTCTGCCCTTTGTCAAAATTTTGTGTCCCCTGTAGCTCACTCCAGGATGGTGTGGCTAAGTGAGTATAGTTATGGAAGTTCTAAGTGAGAGACGAATTAGGGTAGCTAAGTATACCCCGGCGAGGTCAACGTTGCGACACAGTTAAGTTAATGAAAATTTTGTGGGCAG